AATGTTGCTTCAACATCGAGCCACATTTCATATGAGGATAAAAATTTCACTTCACTCATCAAGTACGATTCAAGAAGATCATGAGAATAATATTGTTTTATATTTAGCCCTGTTTTTACCCATTCTGTTATTCTTCTTTCCTTTCTGAAGTCCCTGGCTTTCTTTTGCCATCATTTTCTTTCCCCCCCCCCCCCCCCCCAAAAAAAAACCATCGCTGAGTCTTCTCTGACATTTTCTCAGCCCCTCCTGCCAGTGCCCTCTGTTGCCCTTGGGCCATCCTCTGTTGCCCTGGGGTGGCATCTCCCTTCTGTGGAATCCGTAGGCTTCTGAACATGTGGAAGCAGACCCTAGCAAGTATGTACAGACAGAACCTATTCCAGGGACACTGTGGCCTGTCACATGGAGCCTGCGAGCAGCAGTAAACTTACTCCAGTAGGCCTGCTAGGGACACCTGTTCTAAACACCTCCCCAGGTGCACACCGGGGCTTTCACATGCTCCGCTCTATATCTCACAGCTCAGGGCATCCCCGCAGTAAGGAGAATGAGGCTGAAAGAGCCAGAGATTGACTCCAAGCCCACAGCTACCAACAGAAGGCCTGAGACCAAGCCCAACTCCAGCTGAAGCCCAGGCATCCCTGTGACGGCAAGGCCAGCTGCTGGCTGTGCCCTCTCAAATGCACATGTTCAGATTATCCATATCGTACACTCAAAAATGGTCATCGTCATGACGCCTGTGACCCACATACACATGGGAGGCACGGTACCAGGTGCTTTACACGTCATCCCAGGTAACCCCATAGCCCTACACGGGAGACACCATGTTATCCCCTTTTGACAGATGGAAAGCCTAAGGGACAGAGATCTTTATGGACTGCCTGAGGCCAAATAGGCACTGAGTGACAGGCTCCAGACCCAAACCCAGGCAGCCTGCGCCCTAGTCTGAGCTCTGATGTCTTGTGAATGCCATACAGAGGAACATCAGCCCAGGTCTGTGCAGCTTTGGCATTTGTCCTCCTCCTGCCTGACTCACTTCCACTGGGCACAGTTTGTATGATTAGCTTATATAAGGAAGGCAAGGAGGGTGCCCTTCGCCCAGGTGGTCTTTGGCAGCTGTTTTTGGTCCCTGAACTGAGCCAAGATCTCCTTCTCTGAACCTCCCCGAGAGAATTAGGGAGCAGCCCCCTGGCCTCTCCCTGCACACGCCTGACTTTTTTCTGCTTCTCTCCTCCTTCCCTGCCTCCTCCCTCATCCCTTCTGTCCAGCAGGCCTCCTGTGCTGCTTCTTCCTTCTCCTCTGTCTCCTACTGTGTCCAGCAAACTAAAGTGGCCTTCACCCCCGAGGACGGCAGTGCCGCTCAGGGCCTCGGTGTGTCTGTCTCTAACTCCTTTCTCAGCCGGCACGGCAGCTTGCCCGTGCCCTCGGTGAGTCACTCCCTGCTCTTCTTTACTGGGGAACCGCGGATGGGTCATTCCTTTGACTCCTGCGCCCCAGACACGCACTTTGGTGCCCACACGGACCCTGCCTTTCTGCAGGCCCCCGCACATCTGTGGGAAGGCTGTGAACAGTTGGTTCTCTGGGGCCTTCAGGCCTCTGGGAAGTGTCTGGCTGGGGCAGGGTCGGCATGGGGAAACGAGAGTGGCCACATGTGGAGTGTCACCACTGTGGCATGTACTGGCAGAGGCATCTTGGCCTTTTTATTCCAATCTACTCCTGGACCTTGGATCAGCTCTCTAATCTAGGTTTTAAAAGGAACATAGCCAGGTGTGATGGCATGTCCCTTTAGACCTAGCTAATTGGGAAGAGTGCTTGAGTCCAGCAGTTTGAGTTCAGCCTGGGCAACATAGTAAGCCCCCACCTCACAAATAATAAATTTAAAATAAATAAAAAGTAATATTTCTCACATAGGAAGCCAGGCTGAGGGGAGCAGACTTCAGCAGTGCATGACAGTTTGACTTTGAGGACTGTGTCAGTTTGCTTTTGCTATGTAACAAACCACCGCAGAAATTAATGACTTGAAACAATAGCCACTTGTCACTGCTGAGGACACAGGGAGCAGGATGGTTGTGCTGACCTGCCCAAGTCATGGCTGATTTTGGCTGCACTCACTGACATCTCTGGGACAGTTGGGCAGACTGACTGTGACCCACGTGGCCAGTCGCCTCTGTCATCCTGGCCTGGGCTTGTTCACATGGCAGCTGGCAGGGTTCCAGGAAACAAGTGGCGGCTGCGAGACCCCTTGAGACTGAACTCAGAAGCGGCAAGAAATACCTTCCCTTGTGGTTGCTCCTTCAGATTTCAAGGCCAGCCCAGATGAGGGAACAGGGGTAGACATTTTCTCCTGATGAGAGTTGCGCCTGAGTTGCCTTGCCTGGGAACTGGGCCCAGGAAGGACTTGAGCTGCAGCGGTTCTGTACACAGCTTAACTATTCAAACATCAGGTGCTGACACTGCAGGAGGCACTGCTTTGCACTGGACTCTGCAACTGTCCAGGAACCTCCCTTGAACCTGTTCAGATGAAGCTCTCAGCAGCAGGGGAAAGAAGGCTGCAACAGTTGCATGTCCCAATGAAGGTCATTGTGGCCTTGGTTGAGATTCCCTCCTCCCCGGGCCCCAGTGTCTCTCCTTCAGGATTAGACTTTTACTTGCTTCATATTTTGTGACTGTGAGAAGGAGATAAGACAGTATGAAATGGCCAGGTACATAGTAAGCTTTGAAAGTATATTGCCCCTGTTCTTTCTTTTATTACCTTACTAATGAGAGTTCTGGATATGAATGCTTCATGCGAGAGTTGGGCAAACGACTTAACCTATTTGGTTTCTTTCCCCCTCTGTAAATGGTGAGCGTAGACTTGGGTGACTTTTAAAGACATATCCATGCTCAGTTCCCGGTTTGGTTTTATCTGGTTTCCAGCTGTGCCCAGTGTTGGCTGTGCAGTGCCCAGGGGCAAGGCGGTGCTGCCTGTCATAAACACCTTGGAGTGTATTCTTCCACCGGGTGCTGGGGCTTGTCTCTTTAGAGCCCTCAGCAACCCTGGCCATACTGGGAAGCCAGATACCCCCTCTCCTTGTGTGGCCACACAGACACCCTGGGTTTCCCCAGAGCACCTCTGGAAACCTCCTTTCACAAATCCTGCAAAACTTGGCTTTTAGACAATCCTAGCTCTTGAATGGTTGGTTTTTGGGTTTGTTTTCTTTTCCCCCTCTGAGTTTCTACAATATCCTCTTGGAGCAGTTAGAGGTTAGAGGACTATAAATGAACTGGACTGTTTTCTGCAGAATTAAAGAAAGCTTGGGGGCATTTTAATTAAGTCTGGGTGTGAATACATCATAGCTTTTATCCCTGGGACATACGAGGGTCTTAGGGCATCTTGTGTCTAAAGTTCTGTGTTCTTAGCACCGGCTCCACCAAAGAACCCAAGGGGAGGAGCCAATAAGGTGCTTTATTTCATTAAAAGGAAAGTGCCTTGGGAGCTGGCAGTAGCAACCAGATGTTTGGAACACTTGACAGCTGATACGCTGAAACCCCAAGAAGTGGTTTAGTGTCATGCCAACCTATTCTTCTTATAGTCTCTGGATAAGTTCTAAGATGAGCCCCAGAGATAGGGCTTTGGATTACCATCAGAGCAGTCCTTCATTCCCGAATTTCCCCATCCCAGTGTTCCTGGGCCCAGAATGGAATTCCAAAGGAGGGCCACTCAGAAATACAGCAGTTGTCAGATCGGAAGACACCTCACGTGGCTTTTGGGACAGTGGCCTGTTACTGCTACTAAAAGCTTCTAGCCTCTGATAACCTCTGGCCAAGGGAATTTGTAGAGCAACGAACCTGTATCACACAATTGAAAGGAAGTGGGTGCTGAGAAGTATTCTCGTTTACCCTTGGGTCCCAAGGTGAGTTTAATTCAACAAGCTCAAGACACCGACTTGTATGGATCAGGTTGCAAGAGTGAGGAAGATGGCCCAGTCCCCAAGAAGAACTTGCAGTTCAGCAGGAAGACTAAGACAGCGTGAAAGAGATTCACGTTGAGGCGGGTGTGAGCAGAGGCACGAGAGTTTGTCAGAAGAGACCTCGTGGGTAGTGGAGTGAGGACACTATCAGGCAACGCTTCATGGGGGGGCAGGTGCAGAGCTCTGCTGTTGCTTGAAGGACAGTTAAGATCTCAGGAAGCTAAAAGGCAGGGAGAGCCAGTCAAGATGTTCCCTGCAGAGGGACTTGCCTGAGGAGTGGGGACCAGGAGGCGTCCATTCCAGAGAGCCATCTCGAATGTGGCATTTAGGGAATGAGGTCATTTAGGGAATGAGGTCGTGAAGCAGTTGCCAGCCCTCCCTCTTTCCCCCAGGACCCCCTGTCAGGAAAAGCCAGTCCCCATGCCTGTAGGCTCCTCCCTCCTAAGCACAGCCTGCAAGTCTGTCTCCAGGCAGACCCTCCCCCTGTTCTTGGGCACACTGCCCCACCCTCCCATCCTCTCTGGCTTCAGTTCATCTACTTGGCTCCCTGTTCAAGGGAAGTGTTAGCTCCTGGTCCACAGAACCCCCTTTCTTTCCTGACTTGTGCCATAATCCTAGGAGACTTGAACACAGGCAGATATCCATACCCAGACACGTAGGGTATTCAGACCAGCTTGATGAAAAAAAAAAGCATTGGAGAAAATGAATGAGTGACTGAGGCAGGAAGGATGTGGAGAGGCGGGTGCAACCTTCGTTGGGCCTGGGAGGCCAGTGCTGTGGTCCTGATTCTGCCAGGCCTTGCAGGGCCTGCTGTGTAGGGACCCTATTCAGGATCTGAGTGCTGGCCTCACCATCCCTCCTGGAGACAACGAGGCTGCCCGAGCTTTCTGATGTGGTGCTGGGGCCTCTTCCTGTCCCCGGATGCTCCCTCAGTTGCATGCTGGGCTCTTGTGCGCCCTGGGCTGCCTGCCAGATTCTCATGGCGCCCCAGCCCTCCCACCCTCCATGCCAGATTCCCACAGCCCTGTCCTGTGCCTATCCTTTCTCTGGCTCGCATTTCCTCTGCTTCTGGATGCCAGTAGTACACATCTTAAAAGCTTTAGGGTTGCTCCTGTTTACTTTGCCCTAGACCAAGAGAGCATGGAGAATCTCAGTGACCATTAGGGTTGCCTGTGCCTGTTAGTGTTGGCATTAAAAACAGCCCCCTTCCTCCATTCACCAAACTATTTTCTTGTATATTCTTTCCTTGCTAACTGTAAGCTATGAGTACTAACTGTCACCAAGAGGTCTCTTTGGATGCTAGAAATCTGTTGAAATACTTCTTCGCCATCTTGGCTTCCAGAATGAGTCTGGATACGTAAAACTACTTGCAGACCCAAGTTGTCAGTAGAAGTTGTATTGAAGTGTCTATAATAACTATCGTTTGTTTTTGTTTTTGCTTGTTTGTTTGTTTTGAGTCAAAGCCTCACTCTGTTGTCCAGGGTAGAGTGCAGTGGCATGATCATGGCTACTGCAGCCTTGATCTGCTGGGTTCAGGTGATCCTTCCATCGCAGCCTTCCAAGTAGCTGGAACTACAGGGATGTGCTACCATGCCCAGCTAATTTTTTAATTTATTATAGAGATGAGGTCTTGCCTAGTTGCCCAGGCTGGTCTCGAATCCCTGAGCTCAGGCAGTCCTCTTTCCTTTACCACTCAAAGTGCTGGGATTACAGGTGTGAGAAACCGTGCCCAGTTATTGTCATTTGTTTTGTTTTTGTTTTTTTTTTAATCTTCAAAAAAAAATCTTCAGGCTAAGAAAGTCAAGTGTATATATATCATCTTAGGGACTTCCTTTTTTTTTTTTTTAAGTTGGAGTCTTACTCTGTCGCCCAGACTGGGGTGCAGTGGCACACTCACAGCCACCCCAACGTCATCAACCTTCTGGGCTCTGGCAATCCTTCCGCCTCAGCCTTCTAAGTAGCCAGAACTATAGTCCTGCACTATCATGCTTGACTAATTTTTTATTTATTGTAGAGATGCAGGCTCACGCAATCCACTCGCCTCGGCCTCCCAAAGTGCTGGGATTATAGGCTGAGCCACCGAGCCTGGGCCCCCTTCCCCCTTTTTTAAGGGTCTGCAGAGCAACTGACATACCATTCTGGGCAAAATCATCATTTTCTGCGATGTTGGACCCAGGTTTCTGTGCATCAGCACATATGATCTTAACAGAAGGCCTGAGCTTCCTGCAGGCGCCTGGTGCCCATGCCCCTCCCCGTGCAGCAACCAGGGCCCACCCACCTCCTCGAGTCATATGGCAGGCCTCCAGCCCCACCCGTGCATCTGCTTCTCTCTCACTTGCTCTTTTTCTCCCTCGCTTGCCCCAGTCTCCTGGCCACAAACCATCCTGGCAGATCGACCCAGCAGCCGTCACAGAGACCCTGGGCACAGTGACTGTGGGCACAAATGCCATAGACATGGTGACCAGCCTGTAGGCCAA